AGAGCAGCAGCAGGAGCTGGGGCTGCGGCTGCAGTGGGAGGGACCAGGTGGGTGCACGGAGAATGGGCCGAGACCCGCCCCTCTGCCCACCATGGTCTCAGGGCCCACAGGTCCTTTCAAGGTGCACACATTCGTGCACTGTGCCCCTAGTATACACATATTACCAAAAACATAACTGAACGCCAGGTAGAAACATAGCACTGATGGTGGGGAATCAAAGGAGGCAGCCACTGAGCCGATACTGAAGACTGGAGATGTTTGAGGCATTTGGGCGGAGAACTTTTTAAACAAAAGGAGTTGGGGGTATAAAAACAGACGACACACTGGAGAACGGTGAGGTAAACGCTGTCGCCAAGGGTGTGGAGGGACACAGTGAGAGTTGAGGTTTTGAAGTTGTTTTGATCAGTTCGTGGAGTCTTAGTGCTCTGGTTGCGTCTGAATGCTAACCTGTTAGGAAGCATGGTGCTTGTGCAGACACATTAGGTTGCCGTGAAAACAGCCATGCAGGCCCATCAGACCCTGACGCCCACCCTTTCCCCACCCTGCGCCCCGCGCTGAGGACTGAACCGCAGCCCTCCCTCTGGCTTACGCTGTGCAGTGGGTGCCAGGCTCCCCCGGGGCCGGAATGAAGCATCTACCTGGGCACATATTCCAGAACTGAAGACAGAGGAGCCGCAAGCACGAGACCAGAGAGGGGCACAGGCCTGGGGGGAGGCGGGAGACAGTTACTCCCAGGTTGGGGGGCACCCTCAGAACATGCGTCTAGGAGGAGGCACTGAGATCCCTCCTCCCCTTACTTTTTGGGTTTTTAACTCCTTGACCCTCTGCATAGACCAGCTTCCTCACCATACTGCACTTTCTCCACCACCACCTTCAGAGACCCAGCCACGCCCTCTCCTTCGCTCACCAAGAACCCCCCATCGCCATCCGTCTCCAGGAGAGACATCCCCAAGTGCATGTTCACAGCAGGACGAGAGGAATTTCCCAGTGGGTAGTCACCTGGTGGGAGCGGGTGGGAGAGAATGAGATCATGGGGTCACAGATGGGTGCTTGAATTCAGGGTGATTTTGGAAGAGTTTGAGGAGAGATCAGGGTCAAGTCGAGGACAGGGAGTATGTGGGATATGGGGGTGAAGGTGAGATATAAGGGGTCAAAGTGACTAGCGTCTGAAGGTTAGGGGTTAGGAGTGGAAGAGCGAGGCATCTTACCCAAGTGGCCCTTGGCGCATGAGGCATTGTGGGAGCTCCCTACGGGGCAGCGGTAAATGTCTCCCCGTCGGTCCCCCGAAGGCCCATCCCAGGGGGCACCCACCAGCATCCTGTGGGAGGGCATGGATATAAGCACAGTGTGACCAGGACCTCTGAGACAGGCCATATAAAAAAAAAAAAAAAAAAGAGGAGAGATAGTCCAGACGGTAACTGCATGAGTTGGCAAATCTGGAGCCAGCCACTTCCATGGTCCTGATTCCCTTAGATTCCCCTCTGCCTCCCCCCTTTATATAATAGCTCCATCACAGCCCCCACCTCATGGCCCACCGGCTTCCTCCTCACCATCGCTGTCCGCCCCCAACATGTTGTAAGACACTGTATCCAAATTCCGCCTCGGGTGGCCCTGGGAATAGACGTGGGTGACGCACATCCAGGTTGAAGGGGGAGCAGAGACCTGGGGGGCCGGGGTCATAAGGTTAGCAGGCTGCAGGCAGAGAGGCTAGGGAATGCCCAGACAGAGGCTGTGAAGGGCATGTTTTGCTATCCGTCTATTTCTCTGCTTATCTATAATTAGAAAATCGTAATGTGCTAATTAGACCGGAGGACCTTCAGGATGAAGCTGGGGCTGCGAGGGAAGCTGGTGCGGGTGGGGGTGGGGGTGGGAGTTGGGTGAGGTGGGAGGGTGGGGGTGGAGGAATGCCTACTGTTGCACAAATTTCATGCATCGGGCCTCTAGTTACTCATAAGCTGCCTGGGCTCTGTCAATGTCATGCTCCAGGCAAGGATGATCTTCCTGTATCTGTGTCCAGCTGCCTACCCTGTGGCCCTTTGCCATGCACAGCTGTATTTCCATCCAACCCCTGAAAGCTAATTTACAGACAAGCCTGGGTCAAGTTCCTCTTTTCCGCATCATTCCTCCTACACATCCTCCTCCCCAAGCTGAGGGTTAAAAGATGGGGAGAGACGGGCTGCAGCCCCAGAACAACCGTGCCTTTCAAATTCTCCCCAAAATCAGGACCGTGGGGGAACAGCAGACGAGGGAACACTGAATGTCCAGGTCTCTCCTCTCTCCCTCTTGACTCCCAGCGTCATTGTTACGCGCTCACTCTCTCTCTCCAACGTGTAGGTCTCCGGGTGATCCCAGCCCTGAAAACCTCAGTGGCAATTAACTGGGTGGGGCCCGTCGCCTGCCCACACACATGGTTTGCCATTCATCCTAGCGAGGGTCCCTTCGCCATAAAGTTTCCCCAAACCACCAGCTTCCTTTCTAAACGTACCCACCCTCCTCACTGCCTTCCGCATTTCTTCCTTAGCTGTCGACCCCCCTAAGATGCCACTCCCCCATCCCCCATCAGGTTCTGGCTGATTCTCCCCTCCCATCCCTTTAAAATCAGAGCTGGTATTTTAGGAAACGAAGATTACAGGGCTCTGGTGAGGAAAAGTTCCAGCTTCTGGTCTCTCCCATGGTTCTTTCCCCGTGTCTCACTCCTTCCTTTCAAGCCACCCCCTCTTAGAGCACCCCACTCCCGCCAATGGCGATAGCTCTGCCTCAAACCATGCTCGTTTTCAAAAAGGTGTTTTGTATGTGAACCTTTTGGCACCCAGAAAATGCCGGGGCTGTATGACTAGGAACTGTATGTAGCTCATTGGTTCGATAAACCCAGGGTTCTGACCACAGGGTTAGTCAGCTACGCCTCAGGCTCCAGAGACCACCAAGGGGCAGGAGGGGTTGGGAGGGGGGAATAGGAATCAGAGTGGCCACGTAGAAGGTCACATCCTGTCTCTTTGTAGTCCCCTAACTTCTCCAGAGCTAAGGACCCAGGTTTTAGATAATTGGATCACAAATCTTACACAGGCTCTGACAACCTCAATACTTAAGCGGTCATATGGTGTGGGCATAAGAATGCAAACGTGCAAACACACACACACACACACACACACACGCACACGCGCACACACACACACACACGCACACGCGCGCACACACAGACATACAGACACACTAGCAATGGAGACTCAGCGTTAACCTTTCACCCTAACTCCCAAATAATTTTAACCCTGGAGTCCCAGCCAAACACTCCACTGTCCTCATTCCCCATCAGAAACCAAGAGGTGGACCTCCCTCACCTGTCAGGACCGTCAGGGACAAGAACAGGTGAGGGACGGGAGGCAGCTCCATGCCTGGCTGTTCTGGCCGCGTGAGAGGTCCTCTGAGCCTCTGTCCCTCTCCCTTTCTGTTTTCGTTAGTTTCCCTCCCATCCTGCCCCCTCCCACTGCCAGCTAAAAATAAAGTTGGAAGGAATGGGAGGAGTGATGGTGGGGACCTGTGGGGAGCCCCAGACAGAGGACAGGACTGAGTGATCATAGTCTAGTTCTCTGCCTTGGTGCTGCCCCCTGGAGGCGTCATCTCAAAATCCAAAGGGAACACAGCTCTGGACTTGCTGTTTGCTTCTCCCTTTTCCTTTCCTTTGTGGTTTCCAGACAATAATGCTTTCTTTGGATTTGGAATAAAATGAGTGGGAGATAGACACTTTTTACTTCGTAACTGTATTCATCTCAGCCTGAGATCTAAACAATAAAGAGCCGATAACAGTGGTTTTATTTACCTAGCCACCCAGGGGAGTCCCACTATGTGAAGGTACAAGCCCACAGACCAAGCCAATCCACTCGGTTTTGTTTGGACTCAGCCTCTGCTGCCTGTGGCACTATAGTTTTTGGAGGGACTCTACACCGAACAGGGACAGAAACAGGGGCTTCAGATGACAAGAACACACAGGACCAGACCCAACGTCGATGAGCAAATTGATCTTTAATTGGCTGGTCTAGAAGGCTTGCTCTCCGCTGTGAGCAGGGGCCTCTATTTACACAGAATCACTGTACAATATTTACAGCAAGATGTTAGACACGGCGTCATTCTGGGCAGGCACAGAGGGGTAGGGACGGGCTACAGATGAAGCCCTGAAGTCGAAGTGTAAGCCGGAACCTGCAGATGTGAATAGAGGGAAGGGTGAGGGCCAAGTCATGAGCGAGGCTGGCAAGGTATCCAGGAGGGAGGAAGAGGAAGCAGCGAACCACTTCGGGGCATGAGGGAAGAGTCCCCTGGGACATAAGTCTTTAAAATTATAGTCTGGAGGCTGAAGGGGGTAAAGTCTGCCACAAGCCACCTCTGAGGAAAAAGAAGGCAGTTAGAATCTTACAGAACACACCGTCTCCCCTACAAAAAGGCATTTTGCTGCTGATTAAATTCCTAGGACAGGGGACTGAGAAGAGGAAAAAAAAAAAAGAGAGAGAGACAGAATCTAAGACTTAAGAGACAAAAATCAAAAGAGTCAAGAGAGACACAGACAATGCAGTGAAGGAGGAAAAGAAGAAAAGCTCCCACAGATCTGACATTAGGATCATTCTAAAGACCACACAAGTCACCTTTCCTCTCATTTCCCCTAAGCTCCTCCTTCTGCCCCGGGCATGGGGAACCATTTTTCTGCCAAGGGCCATTTGGATATTTATAACATCTTTCATGGGCCATACAAAATTATCAACTTAAACGTTAGCCTGATAGATTTGGTCAAACATTTCATTAACTCACCCCTAATGCCTTGGCAGGGCAGACCAAATGATTTTGCGGGTGTTCTACGGCCCGTGGGCCAGACATTCCCCACCCCTGGTTTACCCCAACATCTCTGGGTGTTAACTCTAACCAAGGAGTGGAATTAGGATGCGGCTGGGACACTGGGGACAATTGAAGATTCCTTCTTACCCATTCAGGTCCCCTCCTCATCCTGTGCCAGTGTATCAGGGCTTGAGTCGTAGCCAGGGGCAGATGAGGGTGAGGATAGACAGGATGGAGGACACGAGGCCACAAAGCCCCACGATGCCGGGCCCACAGCGCCAGAGGCCTAGCTTGTCCAGTGGAATGAAGAGGTCACAGGCATTCCTGACTACATCCAGCAGAAGCGGGGGATTACCCCGAAGGACCCGAGCCAGGAGCAGGACTCGGAGCTGAAGCTTCAGAGCTATTTGGGGGAGGCCTCCTCCTGGAGTCCCTGGGTCCCCAGGTCCCCCCGTTTCACTTCCTCCTGGGGCTCCTCCTCCAGAGCCCTTCTGTCGCCGGCTATAAACTGAAGACTCTTGTTCCATCAGTAGGCGAATCTCATAAGCATCACGACTCAAATTCATGATGAGAGAAAAGAGATAGTACCTGAGACACAGGACGGAAGGGTCAGTAAGGGCACGTGTACCCACTTAGCATATCCCACAGATCACTCAAACATTTTCCCCCGCCAAAATGCAAAGGATCACACATTAGAACCCAGAAGTGGATGTGTACTAGTGCCCACTATTAGAAATGTCCTCCCACCTTCCTGTAACTAATATATTTACAATTCCTTTAAGATCCTGGGCTAGAGGGGGGGGGGTGGGGGCAATGGTATATGTACAGATAATAATTTAATAATAAAAAAAAAAGATCCTGGGTTAATGTTCATGAGCATCATCAAATCTTCCAAGATCAACCTCAAATTTCCCTTTTCCACTTGGCAACACATTAACACAGATTCAACTTGAACTACAGTAATACAAATTTTTTTTTGTTTCTATTTTATAAGTATGTTTTTTATTTCATAGAGAGGAAGGGAAAGGGAGGGAAGAATAGAAACATCAATGATGAGAATCACTGATTGGCTGCCTCCTGCATGTCCCCTACTGGGGATCAAGCCCACAACCCAGTCATGTGCCTTGACCAGGAATCAAACTGTGACCACCTGGTTCATAGATCAATGGTCAATCACTGAGCCACACCGGCCGGGCTCAAATTTGTTTTAAAAGAATAAGCTTCAGTTGTTTCAGAGTTAAATTATAAATAATTTAAATCCAATCTTTTTATATAACAACAAAAAAAAGAGAAAGAAATGTGCTGGCCAGTGTGGTTAAAGCATCAGCCTGTGAACTGAAGGGTCTCAGGTTCGATTTTGGTCAAGGGCACAAACCTGGTTTGCAGGTTCCCTGTCCCAGCTGTGGTGTGTGTGGGAGGCAACCAATTGACATGGCTCTCTCACATTGATGTTTCTCTCTGTCCTTTCTACCCATCTCCCCTCCTTTCCACGCCCTCTAAAAGGAAAAAATATATTTCAGTGAAGTTTAACAAAATTAAAAAGAGACCCAGCTTGCCAAATGTGTTACATTATAAATTCCTTAAGAACAATATATTTAAAAAAAATACATTTTATTGATTTTTTTTACAGAGAGGAAGGGAAACAGTTAGAAACATTGATGAGAGGGTAATCGATCAGCTTGCATGCCCCCTACCGGGGACGTGCCCAGAACCAAGGTACATGCCCTTGACCAGAATCAAACGTGGGACCCTTCAGTCCGCAGGCCGACGCTCTATCCACTGAGCCAAACCGGTTTCGGCTATTTTTTATTTTGAATCCATTCTCACAACAGTGGTCTGTACTCAGTATGACTGTCCTGTCTCCAGAACACACTGAATGTAAGCACCTCGATTACACTCCATCTCCCCAGTCTAAGCCACCTCATCTCTTGCTTGCACTCCTACCGTAGTCTCTAACCTGTCTCTCCCTGGTCACCCTTCCCCTCACCCCCAGCATCAACTCCTCTCCTTAACACTCGTCATGGTTTCCTTCCTGTCACATTTAGAATAAAATCTAGATAACTTAGATGGCTTATAGACCTCGACATCGGCCCTGCCTCTCTAACTCCACATTACACCGCTCTTTCTGTCAATCAGAGCTCCAGCCACATTTGTTTCTTTTGATCCCATCACGCTTGTTCCTGCGTTGGGATCTTTACAGGACGGGGTACTTCTACCTGAAATATCCTGCCTCCAAAATCTTCACAGGCTGGCTCTTTGGTATGAGCTTAAATGTCACCTTTCCAGAGAGGCCTGCCCCGACCTCCTCTGCTAAATAAAGTAGCAAGCCATTTACTTTCTATCAGTATTTTCATTTATCTTTTTAAAAAATATATATTTTATTGATTTTTTACAGAGAGGAAGGGAGAGGGATAGAGAGTTAGAAACATCGATGAGAGAGAAATATTGGGAATGTGCCCACAACCAAGGTACATGCCCTTGACCAGAATGGAACCTGGGACCCTTCAGTCTGCAGGCTGACGCCCTATCCACTGAGCCAAACCGGCTCTTTGTGTGTGTCTCCTCCCATTACAACGTGAGCGCCATAGGAGCAGGGGCCTTGTTTGTCTTTACTTGTGGGCCCCTATACCTAGACCAGTGCCTGCTTATAGTAAGGGCTTGATAAATATTTGTTGAATGAAATGAATAAACATGGCATATAAGCTCTTCTAGATAGGTGCTTTTCCATACTTCAATCATGCCTCTGTCCACAGCCCTCTTACATCACATGCCATGTAGAAAAACAACACAGAAATGGCGATAGAAAGATGTTCCCTAATGTAATCTAAAAGAACAGTATCATAGCATAACCAGAAACAAGTACAGATGATATGTATACAGATAATTTTATTCTCAAATCATATTTCTCTGTGCGTTCTTTACTTGTCAGTTCAAGCTGTATCTCTTAGCCATAATATGGCCTCTCTTCCTCTTTCGCCCTACTGCAATCCATCCACACTGCAGCAAGAGAAATCTTCTTTAAACACAATTTAAATCATGTTATATCCCTAATTAGAACCTATTGTACTCAGGATTTTTAGTTTTTAATTTTTTTTAAAATATATATTTTATTGATTTTTCACAGAGGGGAAGAGAGAGGGATAGAGAGTTACAAACATCGATGAGAGAGAATCATTGACCAGCTGCCTCTTGCACCCCCCCACCGGGGATGTGCCCGCAACCAAGGTACATGCCCTTAACCGGAATCGAACCTGGGACCCTTCAGTCTGCAGGCCGATGCTCTATCCACTGAGCCAAACTGGCCTCGGCAGTTTTTAATTTTTAAAAATTGATTTTAGAGAGAGGAAGGGAGAGCAGAGAAAGAGAGAGAGACAGAGACATTGATCATTTGACTCTGCCATGCACCCTGACTAGGGATCAAACACACAACTGGGTATGTGCCCTGACCAGGAATTGAACATGCCATCTTCTGGTGTACACTTCAACTAACAGTGCCACACCAGCCAGGGCTAGGATAAAAATTTTCTAAAAACTAAACAAAAAATCTCATCATTGTCTTTCATGAGTGATCTGACCCATCTACCCCTCCAGTTTGAAAGTATGCCTTTTACTCAATGCTATCCATTCCCCTGGCTTTCTTTCTATTTTTTTTTAATTCCCCAAAGTCTTTCTTGGTTCAACACCTTAGAAAATGCTATTTTCTGTTTGAAAAGGTGTTCTCTGCTACTGTTTGCTTTGTTTAACTTCTACTCAAACTTCAGGTTTTACCTAAAATATTATTTTTCTCAAAGAGTTCTTTCCTGATCTTGTTTATTTATTTATATTGATTTCAGAGAGAGAGAGAACGAGGGAGAGAGAGAAACAGCAATGAAGAGAAAGAATCATTGATTAGCTGCCTCCTGCACACCCCCCACTGGGGATCAAGCCCACAACCTTGGCAATATGCCCTCGACCAGAATCAAACCCTGGACCCTTCCGTCCTCAGGCCGATGCTCTATTCCCTGAGTCAAACCAACTAGGGCTCTTTCCTAATCTTTCAATCTTAGTGTTATTTATTTCACAATATTCTGTACTGTTCCTCATATACCTGATTTGGTATTTACTTATCCTACATAATACAAGGGTAATATGAAAATTGTCCCTTTGACCAGGAGTTCCACTGGCGTTAGACCAGGGGGCGGGGCTAGTCTGCCAATCGCCTTTGGCCCCTCCCCTCAGCTGGCCCAGGCCTTCGGACCCCACCTGTGCATGAATTTGTGCACTGGGCCTCTAGTTTTAACATATGATTATCCCACTAGACCAGAAGTTTCATGAGAACAGGAATCACATCATCATGTCTGTTTGGCTCTCTGCTTTATTGCCTGGACCATAGTAAGCACTTACTAAATATTTATAGAATGACTGCATGAGCAGGTAGTGAGGAGAGTAACCTATGGCAGCGATTTTCTTTCTTTCTTTTTTTTTTTTTTAAATATATTTTATTGATTTTTTACAGAGAGGAAGGGAGAGGGATAGAGAGCTAGAAACGTTGATGAGAGAGAAACATCGACCAGCTGCTTCCTGCACAACCCATACTAGGGATGTGTCCGCAATCAATGTACATGCTCTTGACCAGAATCGAACCTGGGACCTTTCAGTCCGCAGACTGACGCTCTATCCACTGAGCCAAACCGGTTTCAGCTGACAGCGATTTTCAACTGGTGTGCCACAAGAATTTTTAAAACATGCAATACCTGACTATTTAGCCAAGGGCACTGACCTCTTTTCCCTTAGTTTGTCAAGAAAAAAAAAAAAAAAAAAAAAAAGACAACAGCCAACACAACAGCAATCCAATGTGAATGAATCAAACCTACTTTTTTTTCAGGTCGGCAAAAAATGTATTTTTGGTGTGCTGTAGGATTTTAGTAATTAGTTTATGTCTGCCATGAGATGAACAAGGTTGAAAATCGCTGACCTATGGTATAGACAGAAGCAGAATTCAAATAACATCTTGCCCAATCTTAGTCATTCATTATGGAAGAGCATTTGTCTTCCGCCTCCTCCATGCCCTGTCCTCTGAGAGACTGAGATGTTAGTGAAGGTTAGAAGCAGGCGGGTGATTAAGGTGTGTACATCCTGGGAAGACCTGAGAGGTCTTTCTCTCATGAAAGGCAGGCTATGTGGAATGAAGAATACAAAGGGTCTTGCAGAATAAGAGGCTGTCAAACCTGAACGAACGCTGGGCCCACTTCTCCTGATCCACACGGGGGGCTAGTCCGGACTTCCCGGCCCACAGGACATTGTCACAGGCGAAGTACAAGGCTCGGTTGAGGTGACTAACAGTGATGCAGAACCTCAGGACAACATCTGACAGGTGCACAGCCCGTTTGGCTGACTCGAGGGCATCTGCTGAGTTGCCCAGGCGGAGGACTTGTGGGGATCCGCAGGAAAAAGCAGAGATTTGGGAGGAGAGAGGTGGAGAGCAGAACGCAGAGAAAGAGAAAAAGCAAAAGGGTGAAAGTTCAGCAAGTGATAGAAACAAAAACAAATATTTTTTTTTAAAAGAGCAGAAACAGTTCCTTCTTTTTCACTTAAATTTTTAATTAATTTGTGTCGCGGTTTGGTGTTCTCAAACTTGCGCGTTTCTCCAGTCCTTCCTTACACTTACGCTCCTGTTGTCTTACCTCAATGGGGAGGCGGGTAGGGGGGCGAATGCAAAGCCAAATGAGGGAGAAGAACCGGCAGAGAAGGGAAAAAGCAGGGAGCCGGGGCTGAGAGAACGGCTGGGGCTGGCGGGGTGTTGGGGTAATAAAGCCTGAAGTTACTCACGCTTTCTCCCTAGGCTCAGGTGACCCTCCAGCTGTCGAATCTGTTTCTGCAGCTCAGGACTGGCCCCCCGTTTCTGCAGCGCGTGGCCCAGCAGGGAGCAGGCGTACTGGGCGGCCCTGGGGGAGACAGGCAGGCAAAGGCGGGACCTCCCTCACCGCCCCGCACAGGTGTCCTCGGGAAGGCGAGGAGGGGCTCCCCTTTCCCGGCTGCGGCCACTCCCCTTCCTGCTCTTCACGTCCACAACTCACTGCTTCTCCCCCAGGCCAGGGGGGGAGCGCACAGGGGGGAGGGGAGCCCAGGCGGGGTGGGAGCACTGCTTGCAGCGGAGACATTGGAGTCTGGACAGATGCGGGGGGACACCCCGGCCAGCACTAGGGCAGTCCGTGACGGTGGGCTGGGGGACCCCGGAGGGCACACTATTCCTCAGGGAGGTGAACCAGGACCGGAAGGCAGGGCGGGGCGGGGCGGAGCGCCCGCTGACAGCGGGGAAGGGACAGGGAGACTTGGAACCGGTCCGCGCTCGGGGCAGAGTCCGGCCGCTCGCCACCCTCTGCGGGGCCAGCGCTCCCGGTGCACCGCCGCCCGGCGGGGGCCTGCGGGTCCCCGCGGACGCGGCGGCCCGGAGCGTCCCCCGCGGGCCCTCTCGTGCCTCAGTTTCACCATCTTCCCGGGGCAGAAACGGATCGCGCACGGCCGGCCCCGCAGCGCCGCGCGGCCCCCGGAGCCCGACTGACCCTTCCTGACCCCCGTAGCGGAACTGGCCGCACGAGGGTCTGGGGTCCCGCCCCGCCCCCGCCCGCACCTGCACAGCCGGTCCCGGGCCTGGCTCTGGGCGCTGAAGCGGACCCAGGCGTCCATGGCGGCGCCGCTCCCGGGCCCGCGCTGCCCGCCCCGCCTCCCGGCCGCGCAACGGGGCCTCGCGAGGGACAAACGTCGCCAGGAAAGAAAGCGGCGGAGCCCGCCCCGGAGGCGGCCTTTCCAGAAGTGCTCGCCTCCGGTCTCCGAGTGCGACTCGATTCGCGAGCCGCCACTTCCGAGGGTCGGTGTCCCTGCTCGCACTTTCCGCTTTAAGGATCCGGGAGGGGCGGGGCCCGCGGGGGGCGGGGCGAGAGGCGCACATTCCGCTTTAAGGATCTGGGCGGGGCCAGCGGGGGCGGGGCCTGCGGAGGGCGGGGCGAGAGGCGGCGGCCTTGGAACCGGGCATGAACACCCGGACTGGCACACACACTCTACCGATCCAGGGCTCCGGAGACCAAGTCCGCAGAAGCAGAACCAGCGCCAGATCCCAGCGCCCTACAGGACCCGGACAGGTGCCTCCAGAGCTCAGCAGTAGCCGAAGTTAACCCTCCAACCCACACATCCCCACCCCTTTCCCTTCCCAGTCACCATGCCTACAGGCAAGGCACCCCTTGGGGGTCGGCGGAGGGGAGACCTGGGCCGGATTAGGAGTGCGATGAAGGCACAGAGCTGCCCATCTCCGCGGCAGCCAAGGTCCGAGTGGGAGTGACCACTGTGCCCTTTGTTTCTTCCGCTGGAGGGAACCTGGCGGTGCTGCGGTGACACAGCCGCCACCCAGTCAGCTCCGCCCGTCAGGTACGGCGCCTGTTTGCCCACTTGGCAGCTCTAGATTTACCGGCCACTATTGTGGTTATGTCCCTAGATGCCACCTGGACTATCATTGCTCAAAGGCTGGCCAGGGACATCGCCTATCGGACACTCATTCCCAAAACTAATGGCCACGTAGGCTACAGCTTTCTGCCTGTGGTCACTGGGTTCCACTGCCACCCCCTTCAGCTGTAAGGAAACTTCTGGGGGCATCCTAGGGATTTGTCTTCTGCTTGCCTTGACCCAGGTGACTCACTTGTCTGGGCTCAGGGCCAGACTGGACAAGAATTTGGGAAAGTAACATGAACCTTCAGCATCATGTCATGTGGTTGATGCTGGTCAGCCATCAATCCTCAGGGGCAGGTCTGATATTCCTTCCCATGTTAAGATCAATGCATGCTAATTGGTATCTGTTCTTAAAAGCAGTACCCTTTTATCTGCGCCTCTTCCTTCAGCTGTTTTACTACCTAGTTCCCCATTTGTATCCTCCCAGTCCCCCCTTGCTTCAGGAGACCGCTGCAGAAACTCTAGGGCAGGGAGGAAACATATATGGGAGGTTCTATTAAGAAAAGAGAGAAGCCAGGGGTTTTGGCTAAACCTTTGTGGTACCATGTTTTCTCATATGTGGAATCTAATCAACAAAATAAACTGATGATCAAAGTGGATCCAGAGACACGGAAACATGGATCAGAGTACAGAATCTCAGAGGGAAGGAAGGGAGGGGAGGGTGGGAGATAATCAACCAAAGACCTTGTATGCAAATATGCACAACCCCTGGATACACACAGTGTGTGTGGGGGTGAGGGCCTGGGGCAAGGGCGAATTGGGGGGGGGGGCATATGTAATACTTTCAACAATAAAGATTTTTTTTATTTTTTCTAATATTTTTTTAGTTTATTTTTTATTGTTTTTTTTTTTTAAATCAATCTTTATTGTTCATATTATTACAAAGGTTCCTCATTTCTTCCCCCCTCCACCAGATTCCCACCCCACCCTCTGCCCCCTCCCCCTCCCCCTCCCCCATTGTCCTCATCCATAGGTGCACAGTTTATGTTCAGTCTCTTCTTCCCTCCCTTTCCTCCATAGTAAATCCCTTTTCAGATAGTAATTCAGTTACTTAGCATTTTCTCATATCAATAATACCTCCACATGCCCAATGATACACTTCACACAAAAGACATTTCCCAATAGGTCAACTAGCCTCATCCAGGCCCCACACAAGGCACTCACAGATCAACACCCCAGCCCTAAACTAACTCAACACATCCAGATCTAAGCCTTCATCACTTGATTCAGCAGACCCTCAAGTTCCCACGAAAGTTTCCAGCCATGTCTGAGAGGCAGCTGTGGGGCAGGGGCAGGCGAGCAGCGAGCTGTTCCGAGCCTGGCTGCTCAGGGCCTGGGCTCTGTTGCTCTGGTTCGTTCCACAACAAGCTGCTCTGGGTCTGGTCACTGCCGCTCCCAACCTAGTTGCTCTGGACTTGGCTGCTGCTGCTCCGGGCCTGGCCGCTCCCAGCCTGGCAGCCGCTGCTCCGGGCCTGGCCGCACCCAACCTGGCTGCTCTGGGCCCGGCCGCTCCGAGCCTGGCCACTCCCGGTCTGGATGCTCTGGGCTTGGCTACTGCTGTTCTGGGTCTGGCTGCTCCCACCCCGGCTGCTCTGGGCCCGGCCACTCCGGGTCTGGGTGTTCCTGGACTGGCCACCCTGGGCTTGGTCGCCTCCGCCTCAGGCCTGGCTGCCACTGCCCCAGGTCTGGCTGCTCCAGTGCTGGCTGTTGATGCTCTGGTTCTGGCTGCTGCTGCTCTGGGGCCTGGCCGTTGCTGCTCCGGGCCTGGCTGCCACTGCCTTGTGCCTGGCCACTCTAGACCTGGCCGCCACTGCTCCAACATTCTGTCCTTTCTTTTCTTTTCTTTCTTTCTTTTTTTTTTTAAACGCATTTATGTTGCAATTTTGGCTGGTGAGTTGAGTTCTGACTCAGTCTTTGATTTTTCAAGAACTTCTTTGTATTCTTTCTTAAGTAATTTTACTAACTTTTGCTCTCACTTGATTTCTTCACATTGAGAACTTCATTGGTTTCCTCCTCCTTGTCCTGGGAGCTCAGCAGGTTGGCCTGTGGCACCCCTTTGTTCTCCGCGGGCTCCTGCGCTGCTTTAGCCTGTTGCCAGGGATGGTGCCGCCCAGGAAGCAGCCACCCCGGCCTTGGCTCCATTGCCCGCGCTCAGCGGTGGAAGGCTCAGGGGCACCCCCCCCCCAGGGTCCCCGTCGCCCAGCTCCTTGCTGGTTCCTGGTTGGCCGGCGTCCGGCAGGGGCTCCTGCTCCCCGCCGCGTTCCCCCAGCCTGGAGTTTTTTTTCTCCTTCCTGCTAGGGGAGTCCAGCATCAGAGTCAACAGACTGTCCTCTGCACGCAGTTTGCGCAAGTCCGGGGGCCCGGCCTTTCGCCGCTCTCCCCGGACTCCACCTCACAGCCCCGTCTCCCTCTGCCTGAGTCTGGGTCCCCAGGGATTGGCCCAGAACTGGGGTTCGGAGCAGTCCGGACTGAGGCCCAGCGCCGCAGGAGGCCTTGTTTCTTCCGGCTAGGGCAACCCAGCATCAGAGTCAACATTCAGTCCTCTGCGCGGGCACTGCGCGCGACTCCAGGGGCCCTGCTTTTCTGCCTCACAGCCCCGTCTCCTCCTGCCGGAGCCTGGGTCCCCAGAGTCTGGCCCATAACTGGGGCTCAGCGCTGCTGGTTCGGGGGTTCAGCCCAGGCTGGGGGTTTTATTTCCTTCCTACTAGGGAAGGAAAGGCAGCACCCCGCCCTCTCCTCCTCTCCGGCTGCGACCTCTCCATGCGCGCATGCGGGCGGGCGCGGAGCATGTCTCCGTACCGTAGGCTTTTTTTCAGCTCCTCTGATTTTCCTTCTGGTTTTCTTTTTCCTTCTTGTTGTAGAATTTTCAGTCAGTCGACTACCTGTAGCTCTGGGCAATGTCCATTCTACATCTTAGTTGTATTCCATTGAAATTGTTGTGTGCTGCCGTGGCTAGATGTCTACCCGAGCAGCCATCTTGGATCTCCTTATTTAATAAAGATTTTTTTTTAAAACCACTTTGTGGTACACTCATCAGCTAAAAAAAAAATAATGTGCATCACCTTCAGTTACACCGCTCTAGCACAGCGGTCACCAACTGGTGCTCCATGAGGTCTGAAAGGTTGGAAACTGCTGGATTAAGGAAACCTTTGGAGCAGCGGTTCCCAACTGGAGGTCCGAGGACCGCTGGTGGTCCACAAGGTCCGAAAGGTTGGCAACCGCTGCTCTAGCAAGGATAGAGCAATGAAGTCCTGACTAAGAAACTTATAGACTAGCTAGCGCAGGAGACAAATAGAGTACAGTCAAATGTTATGCTAAAGATAAGCATAAAGCCCTAGCTGGTTTTGCTCAGTGGATAGAGTATAAGGCTGCAGACTGAAGGGTTCCAAATTCAATTCCCATCCAGGGCACATGCCTGGGTTTGTGGGCTCCATCCCCAAGGATTGGAGGCAGCCCATCAAGGATTCTCTCTCATCACTGATGTTTCTATATCTATCTCTCCCTCTTTTTCCCTCTGAAATCAATAAAAGTATAGTTTAAACACACAAAAAACTGGAAAGATCTCTCTCTCTTCCCATTTTTTGGGGAGGAAGCAACCAAAATTTTTGGTGGCCTTGAGAAAAAAAAAAGGAACTGGAAAAGAGCGCATCTGAACCTGAGTACCAGGTAATCTAATCTCAATAGGAAAATGAACTACAATCTAGGGGGTAAGTTAAACATGAAGCGATTTCATTCAAAACAAAAACAAAAACAAAACCCCCCACTACCACAGGGGATGGAGGGAAGATAGGTAGAGCATCTCTGAGACTAGGATTAGGATTACATCTAGAAGGGGGCTAACATTTTAATCTCTTAGATGACAATGCATTAGAATAAAAGATTTCATCCTTAAAGCCTCAAATATTAAAAATATAACTGCCAGCCGAAACCGGTTTGGCACAGTGTTTAGAGCGTCTGTCTGTGGATGGAAGGGTCCCAGGTTCGATTCCGGTCAAGGGCATGTACATTGGTTGAGGGCACATCCCTGGTAGGGGGTGTGCAGGAGGCAGCTGGCCGATGTTTCTAGCTCTCTATCCCTCTCTCCCTTCTTCTCTGTAAAAAATCAATAAAATATATTAAAAAAAAATATATATATATACCAAAAAAGAAAAAAATTATAATCAAGTTAGTCTGACTATACTGAGTGGCCAGACTATTATGATCTCTGAATGCGTAATAATCTGGCCCTCTCAGTGTGTGTTGTGTGTGCGTGTATGTGCATATTGGGATGACACTCTAACCACTGAGTTACCCTGCCCGGGGAAAAAACAAACTCTTAAAAAAAAATGTGGTGTTAGTGTGATGGAATATGGGGGTAGTTAGAAATCAGTCTGTAACCTAAAGTTTCCAGTAGTTAAAAGGAAGGTTTTAGGTACACTGCATATAAAGTAGGGAGAGGAGGCAGAAGTAAGGCTATGGGTAAAATGTAAGTCCAGGAGCCTGACCTTTTTTCCAATCCCTTCTCACAGTGTCAAGTATTTCTAGGCATAGTGCAAAGAAAAACACCCCAAAACTCCAAACCCCAGAACTGTATGGACTCAAGATAGGGGAAGAGGAAAGACCAATGTCCAGCTAGCTCAGTGTAACTCCAAGCAGTTCATGCCATTGTATGTCTATGGCTGATACTATCTACCTTTCCTAAAAGCCCCTCCACCTGCGAAATCACTTTTCCAAATGTCTTATAGTTAGGAATCTGACACCTGTAAAGCTTTCCTTTTACCAAACTAATAGTGACTCAAATCTACCTTACCTGAACCAAGGTACTAACTTACCTGAAGCTCAAACTGGAAAAATACTCTTTACTGATTCAAACATAAAACTCAGCAATTTACCAAAAAGGGGGAGGAGCGACCAAGAACATGTGGTAAATGTTAAATTTTATTATTTAACATTGTTTCACTATTATAGTTACTGTACAAAAGTCTGTTACTAAAGGTCACTTCAGAGTGGTGTTGCACAAATGGCCTGAAATTTTAGCATCACCCATTTTATACAAGATTTTTCCTCCACAGAATTAATCAGACACATCAGGAAAATCATTTCAGTTAAAAATATTGATGAGGTGGTAGAGATATCCTTTTATAAAGTGCAATGTTTAGCATAGTAATTTTTAAAAAAGAAAAAAGACAGGATTCTTTACGTCCCAGGATTTAACAAACTTAATGGTTAGCTCCATAGCCTAAGAGGATATGGGGATTTTCAAGATACATTTCTAACCTTTTAAATATTGGCACTAAGGATGAAACATCAACTCACACGGTAGTGTTTTGCATAGATTCAAGTGTGACAATGGTGGGTAGGTTGAGGGAGGTGGAAGGGATCAGTAATAATAGTCCTCAACCCCACTCCAGCTGTTGCCATACCATCTGCCAAGCTGGCCCAGGCCCCTTCACTCAGTGTGTTACCAAAGGCAGCTTCAAGGCTAAATGGCAAGGGAGTACGTATAACCTCTTCTGCTGCCATTCTATGCCACTGACTGCCATGACCATCTGCTATCGCCACTTTGTCCTCAGTGTCTAGTTCCCCCGAGACTTCAAACCCCAGGCTCTCATCCATACCCTCAAACAATTGCCTCTGGCCTCATTTATCTGATAGCTATTCATCAAACCAAAAGTGAGATTCTAACTGTATTTCTAGTACCTGATGCTGCACATAATTTTCTTGAATGCCTCCAATTCTAACCAACCTCTAGCCATCATCTGAACTTGAGTTAGGTGGATTAAGGAGAAACACGACCAGTATTCTCCCTTACTCTTGGGACACCATGAAGTCTTGAAGTAGACTTAGTAGCCTCATACAGCACAGCACCTCAAGCAAACCTTGCCCACCGATGGCTCAATGGTTAAGCGTTGACCTATGAACCAGGTCACAGTCCGATTCCCAGTCAGGGCACATGCCTGGATTGAGGGCTCAATTCCCATCAAGGGGGATGTGCAGGAGGCAGCTGATCAATGATGTTTCTGTCTCCCACTACCTTTCTCTCTGAAATCAATAAAAATTAAGAAAACAAACAAAAAAAAACACAATTCTCCAGCATGTCTGTCATAATCGATGGGGGAAAGGAGCACATGTTTGGAAGAAGAGGGTGTGTAGCATTCTCTTCCTTGCCGGGGGAGAGCTCCATCTCACTACCCACCCATCAACTCACCCTATACTCAGGTCCAGAGCCGAATGGTTCTGAATTTCAGTATATTTTCTAAATCCCAATTCTACCAGTGAAACCCTCCTTAGGCAACCACCCTGTGTTTGTCTGAGGACCTGCGGCTAACGCTGCTTATTTAGTTGACCTCTATCCTCTGCCGGAACCTTATTGCTCACTGGGGCTCTAGTACTGGTTCCCTCCCACAGCGCCAACTGGAGTTCCTCCCAGTCTCCCCGCCTCCTCCTCTTCTCTTAGGCCTCGTCAATGCTCCTCTGGATCATCTCCAAGGGGCCTTCCCCCTTGGCTGCCAAAGTGGGCACCAAGAACTTCATATGGACTCCTTTAGGGAAAGAATCCGGGAGAATGCCCCAGAGGAGACTCAGCCCTTAAATAGCTGGCGGTACAAACAAATGTGGCAGTAAGGGCAGGAGGAACAAAAATCCCCTAAAACATTCCTATAACATCCATTTGCTAAGGTCAGAGTATACAGGAACAGAATAATAATTGGTTAATATCCTGAAAACATCTACCCCTGCTCTCTTAGCTTCCAAGAAAAATAAATACCGTAAGCAGTGTTTCTACTCTGACCCTTTGAGGCTTGAGACTGTGTCTAATGTAGAAACTCATTGAACTCATTTAACTGGGAGAAGTACCTTTAGTGTCCCACACTACCTACTGTAAATAGCACTTCAGAGTTTGCAGGTTAGAGCAAGAAAAGAATTCTAAATGTAGAAAACAAAAATGGGACATTTATTTATAATTCACCCCCCCACCCCCTGAAACTCCAAAACACTAAGCAACAGGGAAAAGGATTAAATATAAACAGCTAGTTCCACTCAGGCCCTACTTCTCCAAGGCTGCATGGTCACATGGAATCTCCGGAGCGAACACCTGGCCAGCAGAGGACCGGTCAGCGACGCCTCCGGTCTGGACTCCTGCTGCGCCGGCGGCCGCCTCTAGGAAAAGGGAAGGAAGGGGGTGTCCATCAGAGGGACGTTTCTCTGTTTTGCTCACATTCCCTTCACCAAGATAGTGTCCGCCCCCTCCACCTCACCTCCTCTTGCCCTTGGGTGGACCCCGAACGAAACACCAGTCCACGCTGATCGGCTGTCCCATCAGATCCTGGCCATTGAGTCCCTCCATCGCAGCCTGCGCCTCCTTGTACGTTTCATACTCAACTAGAGTATACCCCTAGGGCAAGCGGAAGACAGCTATCAGAACCCTGTTCCACCAAGCCATGTTCTAGTAACTTTAAACAATGTACATCACATGTCCCTACTGTACACACAGGTTTGTCAGTTCCCGTCTCTGCTGTGTCTAACAAAATCAATTTCCAATGTCATTTTATTTCAACTTTGCTCAATCAGCGCCACCACGGGAGATCTGCCCCTGCTGTCTAAGGCTGATGGGGGAGAGGCAAGGAGTAGAACTCAGCCCAGAGGTGTTTGGCTCAGTGGATAGAGTGTAGGTCTGCTGACTCAAGGGTCACACACACCAGAGGCTCAGTGCACGAAATTCATGCACGGTGGGGATAAGGGGGGGTGGGTGTCCCTCAGCCCAGCCTGCACCCTCTCCAATCTGGGACCCCTCTCACAATCCAGGACTGCTGGCTCCCAACTGCTCCCCTGCCTGCCTTCCTGACTGTCCCTAACTACTTCTCCCTGCCAGCCTGATCACCCCCTAATCACTGCCCTGCCAGCCTGATTGATATCTAACTGCTCCCCTGCCAGCCTGTTTCCCAACTTCCCTCCTCTGCTAAGCTGGTCACCCCTAACTGCCCTCCCCTGCAGGCTTAATTGCCCCCAACTGTCCTCCCTTGCAGACCTGGTCCCTCTCAACTGCCCTCCCTTGCTGGCTATCTTGTGTCCACATGGGGGGCAGGATCTTTGACCACATGAGGACAGCTATCCTGATCTTTTGTGTTGGAGTGATGGTCAATCTGCATAATACTCTTTTATTAGATAGAAGTCTGGTGCATGGGTGGGGGCCAGCTGGTTTGCCCTGAAAGGTGTCCTGGATCAGGGTGGGGGTTGGGGCGTGGGGCAGCCTGAGCGAGGAACCTGTGGTGGTTTGCAGGCTGGCCATGCCCTCCCCACCCCCACCCACAAGCAGAGACCCTAGTATCTGGGATATATTGATCTTCTACAATTGAAACTTTGTAGCGTGGAGCAGAGCCAAGCTTCTGCTGGCTCCCCTGCAGCAGCCATTTCTGTTTGGTTTTATGTATCTTCTATAATTGAAACTTTGTAGCCTGGAGTGGAGGCCTGGGTCCACCAGGGTGTGTGGAAAGCTTGGCTTCCTTCATCCTGGGGAAACCCAAGCCTCCCTCCTGCTCTCTGCGGTGCAGCCTTCTGAGTTGGGGTTAATTTGCATACTCACACTGACTGGCTGGTGGGCATGAAGTGATGGTGTATTTGCATGTTACTTTTATTAGGTAGGATACACACACACACACACACACACACACACACACACATATATAAAGGAGAACTCAGTACCTTCAGGTACCCTGTGCGCCTGTCCAGGTTGAGGTGGATGTTTTTTATTTCCCCATACTCCGCGAATTTGTCATGGATGTCTTCTTCCGTGGCTTCCTCATGGACCCCAGTGACAAAGAGAATCCAGCCTTCAACAGCTGTTGGGGAAGGGAGGGGGGTGAGCACACAGGGAAAAGCTTAAGAGGATCCCAGCAGCAGGGTGAGTGCCACTCCAGACCCCGCACCCCTTTCCTACGGGTTTTGCTTTACTGCCCCCCCCCCCCCCCTCTGCGGACAGGACACACACACACACCGGCTCCGTCTACTCACAGCGCTGTGGTCCGGGCTCGTCGCCGTCCTGCTCCACGCTGTCAAAATCCTCCCGCATCCGCGCCCGAGAGCCCTCTTCTAGGGAACACGCAGAGATCAGTGGGAAGCCCCCTTCCCGCTGTTCCCCAGGAAAACGAACGGACCCCGTTTTCCCCACACTCACCGGAGCCGAAGCCGCGGCCCTTCCGCTTCTTCGCCTTCTCTTTCAGCTTGTGGATGCTCTCTGTAACCCCGTAAGCGAAAGGATAAGGGCCGACGGTAACGTGCAGAACCACAGCCTCTTGCCCCAGACATTCCGGGAGCGGACCCACCGCCTCCAGTCCCGCGAGCCCCGCCCCTGCCGCCGCCGGGGCGGAGTCCGCGGGCCGCGGAAGCCCGCTCCCCGCTCCCCACCTCCGCGCCGGAGGAAGGGGAGCCGTCGCCCTATTTACTTCGTCCTTCTCTCGCACCTTCCCCTCTTCCCGCAGCCGCCTCCACTGCCCTCACCGTCCCCATCCTCATCCATGGCGAAGTCCTCGCCGCCCGCCTCGTGAAGATCCAGCACGTCCGCCATCTTGCCTCCCTGGAACCCGCGTCGGTGCCGCTCAGGATCGAAGCAGCCCCGGGAAACTGGTCGCGGAGGGGAAAGGTCACCAGTCCCGTTGACCAATCAGAAGCTTACTCTAAGTCCCGCCCGACGCGGTGGAAATACGCACGTGGAGGCGGGCCTAGGCCGGGAAGAGCCGGAAGTACCTGTGCAGCCATCTTGAGCAGGTCGGAAGCCGGAAGTGCTCCTGTAGCCCTCAGGGGCAGGCCGGGAGCTGAAAGCCGCCACTGGGCGGGGGCCTGCCGACCGCGAATCGCTGGCTTCTCTTATCCTGGGCAACCGAGGAGAAACTGCTGGCCGGAAAGCCCAGCGTGATTTCTGCAGGGGACGGCTGCCTTCTGTCTCACTCATACTAGCAAATGGAAGTTGAAGAAAGTTTCTTTCAAAACTTCCTGTTCCGAGGAGCTGCAGGATCTGTGATGTGAGCTTTAAAAAATAAAAATAAAAAATTCAGTCTGCGATGCTGGCTTATACTGCGCACGGAATTTCTCTCTTAAAGAAGCTAACAGCCCTGGTTGTGCAGTTCTTTTGGTGAGACAGATACCAGCTTTTTTTCTTCTTAAGGTTAATCCCCAACTTTCCCCACCACCTCTGGGGCATTAATAAAAGATTATGGCTTTAAACAAAATAGGGGCTTTAGCTTCTTGGAGGATGTGGCGGTTTTTTTTTAAAAATATATTTTATTGATTTTTTACAGAGAAGAAGAGAGAGGGATAGAGAGCTAAAAATATCGATGCGAAACATCAACCAGCTGCCTCTTGCACACCCCCTACTGGGGATGTGCCCACAACCAAGATACATGCCCTTGACTGGAATCGAACCTGGGACCTTTCAGTCCGCAGATCGACGATCTACCACTGAGCCAAACCGGCTTCGGCTTGTGGCGGTTTTTCACTTTTAAAAACCTAGGCCTTGAGCCTAGCTGGTATGGATTTGTGGTTGAGTGTCAATCCATGAACCAAGAGGTCACAGTTGGATTCAGGGTCAGGGCACAAGCCTAGGGTGCCGCTCAATCCCCAGGAGGGGTTGTGCAGGAGGCAGCTAGTTAATCAATGATTCTCATCTTGAATGTTTCTCTCTCTCCCTCTCTCCTCTCTCAATTTAAAAACAACAACAACAACAACAAAAGGCTAGGATTTGAATTCTGGACGGGTAGCTCAGTTGATTAAAGGGTCGTTCCTATATGCCAAGTTTTGGGTTCATCTGGATCTGGGCATATACAAGAATTAAGCAATGAATGCAAAAATAAGTGGAACAACAAGTCTCAAATCAGTATCTTTTAAAAAGTGCCTTTAATTAAAACAAACAAAAAAACCCCAAGGTGAGACAAAACCTATATTGTCCCCAAATCCTGGAATCTTGATATAGGCCTTACACAATAGTGGACTGAAGATTCACTCATTAATTTTTTTCTTATTAATTTTTAATCAAACAATTTTGAATGTTTACCTGTGTCTAATAGTAGAAGTAATGCTGGCAATACAAGGAAAAATAATTATATCATCAACAATGACTTTATAATTACATATAGAAGTGGTAATTGCTATCACCAAGTGGAATAGGAGTGGCGAGTCCATGTAAGGGAGGACTTCTGTCTGAACTTGGCCTGTAAGGCTGGGTAGTTTTTCAGGCAAAGCAGGCGATATTAACTGAAACGAGGAGACACTAATCCATTCTCCACAGTAGGTAGTTTGGTCTTTTAAAGAAAAAATCAGTTTGATGTAGTCTCATTTGTTTATTTTTGCTTTTGTTTCTCTTGCCCGAGGAGCTATATCAGAAAAAATATTACTACAGGCATTGTCTGAGATTTTACTGCCTATATTTTCTTTTAGGGTTTTTATGTTTTCTAGACTAACATTTAAGTCTTTAGTCCATTTTGAGTTTATTTTTCTATGTGGTGTAGTTTCACTTTTTTGCACGTATCTGTCCAATTTTTCCAACACCATTTATTGAATTGTACGTTTATTTTTGTTGTTTTTTAAAAATATATTTTATTGATTTTGTATAGAGAGGAAGGGAGAGAGATAGAAAGCTAGAAACATCGATGAGAGAGTGTCATCAATCAGCTGCCTCTTGCACACCCCCTACTGGGGATATGCCTGCAACCAAGGTACATGCTCTTGACTGGAATCGAACCCGGGACCCTTCAGTCTCCAAGCCGACGCTCTATCCATTGAGCCAAACCGGTCTCGGCTCATTGTACGTTTTTGGCTCCTTTGTCAAATATTGACTATAAAGGTGTGGACTTATTTCTGGACTCTGTTCTATTGATCTATATGTCTGTATTTATGCCTGTACCATGCTGTTTGATTACTATGGCCTTGTAGTATAGTTTGATATCAGGTAGTGTAATTCTTTCAACATTTTTCTTCTCAAGATTGCTGTGGCTATTCATGGTTTTTTAGAGTTCCATATAAATTTTCTTGAGTATTTGTTCTAGTTCTGTAAAATGTACCATTGGTATCTTGGTAGGAATTGGGTTGAATCTATAGATTGCTTTGGGCAGTATGGACATTTTAATAATGTTAATTCTTCCTATCCGTGTACATGCGATATGTTTCCACTTATTTGTATCTTCTTCAATCTTTCTTCAGTGTGTATAATTTTCCAAGTACATACTTTTATATCCTTGGTTAAATTTATTCCTAAGTACTTGTTTCTTTTTGAAGCAATTGTAAATGGGATTGTTTTCTCAGTTTCCCTTTCTAATAGTTCATTATCCATAATAATAAAAGCGTAAAATGCTAATTAGACTGGGCAACCTTCTGAACAAAGCTGGGGCTGTGAGGGAAGCCTGGGTCCCAGGTGCCAGAGGAAGCTGTTGTCAGCAGCCAGGAGAAGGAAGGCCTACTCTTTTTTAAAAATATATTTTATTGATTTTACACAGAGAGGAACTGAGAGGGATAGAGTTAGAAACATTGATGAGAGAGAAACATAGACCAGCTGCCTCTTGCACAACCCACACTGGGGATGTGCCCGCAACCAAGGTACATGCCCTTGACCGGAATCGAACCCGGGACCTCTCAGTCCGCAGGCCGACGCTCTATCCACTGAGTCAAACCGGTTTTGGCGGAAGGCCTACTCTTGCACGGATTTCGATTTCGTGCATCAGGCTTCTAGTCCTTCCTCTATTATAAAAGTGTAACATGCGATAGACCGAACAGTGAAAGACTGGTCTCTGTGAAGCCGGGCTCACAGCTGGCGAGCCCAGCGGCGATGGCGGGAGCCTCTCCTGCCTCTGCCGCAGGTGGGCGGTAAGGAGCGAGGGGTCCGGGACTGCAGGAGGGATGTCTGCCGACCAGCTTAAGCCTGATCCCTGGGGAGCGGACCCAAGCTGGCAGGCGGACATCCTCCGAGGGGTCCCAGACTGCGAGAGGGCACAGGCTGGGCTGAAGAACTCCTCACCCCCACCCCAGTGCATGAATCTCGTGCACCAGGCCTCTATTTGTTGTATAAAATGCAACTGATTTCTGGATATTTATTATGCATAACACTACTGAATGTATCTATCAGTTCTAGTAGGTTTTTTTTGGTAGAATCTTTAGGGTTCTCTCTATACAGCATCATGTCATCTGCAAATAATGACAGTTTTACTTCTTCCATTCCAATTTGGATGCCTTTTATTTCTACTTGTTGTCTGATTGCTGTGGCTAGAACTTTCAGTATTATATTAAGAGCAGTGAGAGCAGACATCGCTGTCTTATTCCTGATCTTGAGGAATGCTTATAGTTTTTGCCCCTTGAATATGATGTTGGCTATGCGTTTGTTATATTATATATGGTCTTTATTATGTTGAAGTATATTCCCTCTATTCCCACTTTGCTGAGAGTTTTTATCATAAATGAGTGCTGGATTTTATCAAATGCTTTTCTGCATCTATTGATATAATATTGGTTAGAGTGTCGTCTTGATCCGGGCCTCAGATGTATGGAAAATGGGTTTTATTTTGAATATATGAGTTAAAAGAACTTGTGTCATATTCAGGAGGTGATGTCCAACATAAGGAAAATATAGATATAAGAGCTCAAAACAGTTTGCAGTAGAAGAAACAGATTAGAGAATTGTGTGTATGATAGAGTTTAGACCACCCTAGAGGGTGAGATTGCATGTGGAACTGGGTAGAACTTAAGGGGAAAGAACTAAGAGCAAAACCTAGGCTCCTCAAATCTGGAGAAGGAGAGGCAGGATGCTTCTCCCCAGCAATACAATCTTATCTCTACCACCCCAAAAATACTAATTTATTTTACATATATACGAAAATTACATTTTCGTATATATGTAAAGAAAGGGTCATTTTATAACTACTCCAATACAAAAGACTTGAAGAGTCAATCTGGCACACTAGACAAAAAACTGTTTTAATTGTATAAAATTATACATATAAAATACATAGAAAGTACTAAAAAGATAAGTAAAATCTTTAACACCAAAAGTGTACAGATCAGGGAACAATTTTTCTCAAGTTTTTCGGGATCGTACTGGCTGGTATTTGAGGAAAACAGTAAATCCAGGAGGTGCAAAGGTGAGTTCTTCCCACAACTCACACCCCTTAACACCTCCCAGAGGAAGGTTAGAAATGAAGGTTTCTGGTTTCTGGATTATAAATATCCGTAAAAACTGAATAGACACACCTGTTGCTGAATGCAGGAGCATCTGTGCCAACCCTACATGTATTTCATGGACTGCAGAGAAGGGGCAAGGCCGTCCCTGTCAAGCACTGGAGCATTTATTGCTAGATAATGATTTTGATCCCATAAATGATTTCAAAAGAGAGAAAGCTCACTTTCATCTTGTCCCCATCTGATCCAGAAGAGAATATTTGTGGCCTATTTCCTAACCTATTTCTTTTGAAAGCCAAGTGTATAGTACATTAAATGGAAAGTCAGATTGTAGAAACATTAAACTTCCCAAGCTCACTTTAGAAAGTGCACCGAGCTATAATATTGTATTAAGGAGACTACAGAAACAAGGGGGGAATATATCGTAGGGAGATCTACAAAACATTCTCCCAAAGGTGAGTGTTTACCTATATACTCCAGCTCATTCCTCTCCTATTGCACCCAGGAGAGTGGTGGGAAAGAGAACAGTATTAAAAACACAAATAGCTGATCATTGATTCTCTTTCCCTTCCTGCAGTCTCGAAACATTCCATTTAGGAAGTGCCATAATGCTAAAGTGTCATCTAATTTTAATTTACCTGATCATTTCATGCTCTAATAATCAATGTGGAGGAAGAGGAGAGAAAACAAAATAAATGTGAATCTAAGGCATGAACAGCTAAGGTAGCAGACAGCAGCAACTTGGTGGCAGTGAGAGGAACTTGGCTCTCATCAAATAGGACAGATAATCCTTCCCAAGAGCAAAATGATGGCAGGAGAGTGAGGAGGGAAATATGTTTTGCCTTCTACCAATCTCTGCAGGCAGGAAGGTCTAAATTCAGGGCTTAACCACACTAGGGGAGCCGAGGAGCAGGAGTGAAAGGGAATGTTGAAATAAGCAACTTCAACCCTGATTCCTTCTGTCATGTAGGGTTAGGGTTAGGGTTAGGGTTAAGGTTAGGGTTACATCCAGAAATCCGGACTATGGCGTGGTCTCTATGGCCCAGAAGCAATGTAGGTGACAAACCCTTATGAATTGAGTTTATAATTTCTCTCTCGTTCCTTGGCACTTCCTCAGGAATGACTTTTAAAGTGGGAAGCCAGATCTCCAGTTCCTACCTCGTACCAATTGGAATCAGAGGCGGGTAAGGTAGTGGTGAAGAGGCACGGTAAGGTGTAGGTTAGGGGATATCATTACTGGAGGAACAGCTTGGTACCGGGTAGGCCCAGCTCAAGATAAACCAAAGCTGTGGGCTTCATATTCATAACCTATTTGAGTCTACGAGAAAGAATGAATAGGGGGCGAGGGGGGACAGAGTCCTTATTCAAGCTCCCTGTTGTTTTAAAAGAAGGAGACGTGAACAGTTCATCTTGTGCTGCTGAAATGACTACACAGAATTTCTGGCAGCAAAGCTCAACGGCAGCTGCTCTTTTTGTAAAGTGGAGTGGGGATGTTTCAAATGAAAGTACATAAAAAAACTAGAGAAAAGGATCTCTTAGCAAAAAGGAATCCAGGTGTAGGATGTATACATACATACGTATGTGTGTATATATATGTATATGTATATTTTTAAAGTATAAAATTGGGCCCGTATGTACAGAAATCATATGAAATCTTGGGAAGGAATTGAGAAGGCCCGGAGAGGTGGCAGGGGGGTGCCTAGCAGTTGGAAGAATGCATGTTGCCCAGCTGCCCCGCAGCCAGCATGAGGATGTCCTTCTTCTCCTTGTGGAAGCGCAGCTCCTTGCCTGCCAGCCGGGCCTCGTCCAGCTCCCGCTCCGTGGAGGCCAGCTCCCTAGACAGTGCCCCTGGCACACTCTGCTCCCGGCTCACCCAGTCCAGTGCCATTTGGTGACGAATGTCATCGTCCAGGGCCCGGTGTGAATAGTGAGCCAACACTTCCTAGAGAGGGGAAGGAAATGTGAAGGTCACGGGCAAGGTGAAGGTTCATACCACACTGACCACCTGGGACTAGGAACGCAGCCGTGGAGTCCTGAGTGGAGTCAGCACTCAGGCCCGTTAAGGAGATGGTTAAGAGAAATGTCCTTGTCGGGGATCCAGGGAAGGAAAAGAATCACAGCTGAGATTTAAACAGGAAGATAATAGGGGCAAAGAGGGCATTGTAAGTGGGGTGTCCATAGGCTGATTATTTCTAACACAACAGCCATCTCAAAACAGTCCCTCCGCCAGGCCCCCCTCCCCCATTGGATCTCTTACCTGCCGAGAGCACTGTCTTTCCCTCATGGCCTTAAGGCTGCCATTCCAGTGCAGCAGCTGAAAAACTGTCATTAGCTCCTGGGGAAAGAAAGCATGAAGTGATTTAATCCTGGGAGGTGGCATCAGAATTACATGGGTAACTGTTCACAACACGTGTTTGCGGAAGCATCTCTTACACCAACTCTCATCTGCTCTCAGGGGAAGGAAGGTATTTCTATTCTGAAAAACATTTTAGCCCCGGCCACTGTGATTCAGTTGGTTGGGCATTGTGCTCTGCATCAAAAGGTGGCTGGTTCAATTCCAGGTCAGGACACTTCACTCAAGTTGCAGGTTTGATCCCTGAGAGGCAAACGGTCAATGTTTCCCTCTCACATGGATGTTTCTCTCTCTCCCTCTCCCTTTCTCTCTCTCTAAAGAGCAATAAAGCCCTAGCTGGTTTGGCTCAGTGGACTCAAAGGTCCCAGGGTGGATTCCAGCCAAGGCCACAGACCTCGGTTGCCGGGTTGATTCTAGGTCATGGTTAGGTCACGTGTGGGAGGCAACCAATCAATGTGCCTCTCTCACATCTCTGTCTCTTCCCTTCCACTTTCTCTAAAATAAATAAATAAATAAATAAACAAACAAATAAACAAATAAATAAAAAAGCAGTGTTTCAAAAAACATTTCTTGAGCACTTTATCGTTTATTTGTAGGTTAGAACTCATATCATTTGGTTTGAATGATCTAAATATATATTGGCTTCTGATCAGAAAGTGCTTTGAGTATTAAAGGAAAGGTACTATATACAGAGTGCTTCAACAAAGCACCTTAATTTTAATTGTCAGTTTATGACAGGATCTTCCAAAATACTGCATGAAAGAAAGAAAATGTTTATCATCTACTATGTGTTCCTTTAAAATTTTTTAAAATTATTATTGAGTATTACAGATGTCCCCATTTTCCCCCATTGCCTTCCTCCACCCAGTTCCTGCCCTGCCCCAGGTCTTCTGCACCCTATTGTCTATGTCCATAGGTAACGCACACATGCAAATAAGTTCTCTAGTTAATATCTTTCCACCACCCCCTTTCAGATTTGTCACTCTGTTCCATGTTTCCGTGCCTCTCCCTTCCTTCCAGTTGAGTATCAATGTGTTAGGGATTAGTAGGAGGCACACACATACACACACACACACACACACACACACACACACACACACACACTATTAGAGCCAGGGAAGGAGATTGAAGAGTACCTGGAATTCTAACATTGACTTGCCCTTGTTGGATTCCAACATGAATCGGAAGGCACCAATCCCAGTATTGGGGTTGTCAGCTTCCTCCCTGTTGCCCTGTAACAGGAATAGACGAAGATTTTCAATTAGAATTATCCCCTCACACAGTACTGTCTGATAGAAACATAATTAGCATAAAGTACATCAATTTCAATAGCATATTTTATTTAGCCTAATATATGCAAAATATTATTTCAACTGTAATGCCTATAAAAATTATTAATGAAATATTTTTCTTTTTCTTGTATTAAGTTTTCAAAATCTGGTGTCTCATGCTTACAGCACATCTCAATTCATAGGAGCCACATTTCAAGTGTTGATTAACTATGTGTGGCTAGTGGCTATTCTGCTGGTCATCACCTTAGAGGAGTCCAACGTTGTTACACATTCTCACTCAGGTGACAGGTCAATCTGATCATCCCCATCCTACAAGGGAGAACACTGACACACAGAAATGCCCTGCTTTAGCCAAAATAACAGAGTGAGTTCAGCATGTGGGATTGGACTAGACTAGAGAGCAATTGGGCAAATGCATTTTATTTATTTTATTTTATTTTTTAATATATTTTATTGATTTTGTACAGAGAGGAAGGGAGAAAGATAGAGAGTTAGAAACACCGATGAGAGAGAGTCATTGAGCAGCTGCCTCTTGCACACCCCCTATGGGGATATGCCCGCAACCAAGGTACATGCCCTTGACCGGAATCGAACACGGGACCTTTCAGTCTCCAAGCCGATGCTCTATCCATTGAGCCAAACCGGTCCTGGCCATTTTATTTTTAAATATACTTTTAAAAAACTGATTTCAGAGAGGAAGGAAGAATGATAGAGAGAATCATTTATCGGCTACCTCCTGCACGTCCCCTATGGATGGCAAAGCCCACAAGTGGGGCATGTGCCCTTACTGAAAATTGAACTGTGACCTCCTGGTTCACAGGTCAACACTTAACCACTGAGCCACATTGGCCAGGCTGGGTAAATGCATTTTAAAGGGAGACAGTAGGAACCATAAGCATGGCAAATTCTGGGTAGCAGTTTGGCCTCCTGAACATTTACCAGGTGTCTTCTCATTCACCCCATTTACCTCATGTGTCTTCTCATTCACCACATTTACCTCATGTGGTGAATGAGACTGCAGGGCTATAACAAATACATAATCCTATCTGTAAGCCTAGTGTGTGCAAAACCCCCCAAAAATACAATATAGAAGTTAAGAGCATGGACTGAAGCACCTAATAGTCTTGTGTCTTTGGTGAAGTCATTTAATCTCCTGTTTTTCAGTTTCTCCATCTATAAAATGGGAATAATCATAGCTCTACCTTATAGGATAGTTTTGAGAATTAAGTTAAAACATTTTAATTTAAAAAGTAATAAATCTTTTTAAAAACTCCTATCATATACAACATGGGTGCATAATTGTACTGGATCTGGTGTTCAGTTACACAATCTAAATCCACACTGGTATTTGCTCTAATTTGGTGCAATTTGGTGATAATTTTATATTATTTAATGAGCTCTGGCCAAGCAGCTCAGTTGGTTAGAGTGTCATCCCAATATGCCAAGGTTGTGGGTTCAATACCCAGTCAGAGCACATATAAGGATAAACCAATTAATGTATAAATAAGTAGGATAGTAAATGATTTTTCTCCCCCCCTCCCCCTTTTCTTCTCCTTCTCTCTCTCTCTCTCTCTAAAAAAAAAAAAAAAAAAAAAAAAAATCAATGAAAAATATAATTGAGGATAATTTCAGGTCCCAGGGCTGGCTGGAATTTACAAAATAAAGGTTTTGGTGGTGATCTTTTTGTCAATCTGATCGAGGAAAGAAAGGCCAGGAGACTACTGGGAACACAGGGACCCAACTTTCTCCTCCTGCTTCCTGAGAAGTCGCTTGCTCTTTCTAGCCAATTCCACACCATACACCCCACCTCTCAGCATAGAACTTTATTCTGCTCTCTTTGAGGAAGGGGACAGGTAGAGGTCAGGAGCCAATCAAGTTATACCCAAATTCAGTTTATTGAGGGGCACTGTATTATGAGATTTTACTGTATTTATATCACACCTAAAATAATGCACACTTAGTAAGAACACTATAAGGGCTTGCAAACTATTATTCTTTATTTTCATTGTGTTAGAATCAATTGTGTCAGAACTACTCAAGATCATCCCATATTGTTTTGTGGATCATGAGAAACAATCGTGCCACATGTAGCTAATCTTTGTGGTGAAGCAAAGATCACAACATTTGGATTTAGAAATAAAAAGCTAGAAGGAGGAAGGAAACAGGTCATCTTCACTGTTAGGATTTAGGACTCTGAAGCAATCAACCATGTTATTTTTGCCTATAATTGTTCAATATGATACATTACTCAGTACTTCCAACATTTTCCATGATGTGGCACCTAGGCAGGAATGATATCTGTGCAGCTAGTGGGGACACGCAGAGGAGACTGTTGGCAAAGCGGCCTGCCACAGAGGCTGTGGGGCAGAGGAAGCCACATGTCCCAGGCCCGGCTGAGAGGATCAATAGCATGGCACGCCTGTAACCTATCTGGAGCAGCATGGCACACCAGTTGGGAAGTTCTACCTCAAATGACACTTACACACTTCACATGGCTAGAAACGAACCTCGCTTATTCAATAAATATCACAGAATACTTGGTAAGGGGTAGAAAAGGTCTCTTTCTGTCTCTGAATGTAATTATGTCTGACTGTCTGGAATTTCGTGGCCAACTTGAACCCTGAGGAGAGATTGCCCAAGGACAAAGCCAACCACTAGACGGCTGAGTGGAGATGGAAAGGGTTTGGGCAGATGATGACATTCTTGATCCACAAAATCAGCCAGATCTGAAATCTTCTCTACCTCTGAACCTCCTGTCTGTCATGTTAGATAATAAATTTCCTTCTGTTACTTATTTCCTTAGGTAAGTCAATTTGAAGTGATATTTTCTATTACTTACATCCAAAGGTATCTAAAGTGATAACATGTGCTAAGTGCTTGAATATATTCTCTTTTATCCAATTATCCCATGTGATAGGCAAATTGTTATCCTATTTTACAGATGAGGAAACCGAGACTTAGATTAAATAATTTGCTCAAAGTCACATAGCTAGAAGAATCATAACATCAAAACAAGAATCAGAGCCTCTGGTCACAACCCCTCTTTCTATAATCCAAATTAACATTTTGTTTTATTAGGTAGTGAGTGAAAAACATACTTTCTTAATTTTAATTGGCTTTTATTAATATAAAAATGTTTTTCTTCCTGCAGATACTACTGAGTAAAGAGTAATGGGAGAAGAAAGCTGGAGCCTAGGTAACAAAGAGAAGCCAACTTATGATTTAAAGTGCTCAACACTGCCCTAGCTGGTTTGGCTCAGTGTATAGAGCATCGGCCTGTGGACTGAAGGGTCCTGGGTTTGATTCTGGCCAAGGGCACATGCTGGGTTGTGGGCTCGATCCCCAGTAGGGGGTGTGCAGGAGGCAGCCGATCAATGACTTCTTCTCATTATTAATGTTTCTATCTCTCTTTTCCTGGGCCTAATTAATGAAAATATATTTTTAAAAATGTAATAAATGAAGTGCTCAACACTACTCCGCAAAATAGATAACTGAAGCAGTTCAGTATATGTAATTACACCTTAAATGCAAAGAGGAAAAAAAAACAGAAAATCCATCAGACTTTATCAGCCTGTCAGTGAATTTGTGGGAGGGAGAAGATAGTGTTAGATGCACTGTAAACTAGAAAAGTCTATAAGTTGGCTTGGGTTCCAGTCTTGGATATACTACTTACTAGCACTATCACTACAGGCAAAACTTCACTCCTGTGTTTTTAGTTTTCTTCATCTGTAAAACAGGAGCAATAATAGTACTTACACATCACAGGATTATTGTTAAGATCGAATGAGATGTAATACATATAAATCCCTAGAACAATCCCTGGCACAAAGTAAATAATTAGGATTAGCTATGGTTAGTCATCGTCATCATCATCATCATCATTTGAAAGAACAAACAAGTGTTCTTTTTAAAGAGAATAAATAACTTATTCTTCCCATTCCTAGAAAGGATAAAAGCCAAGACACTGTATTATGAAGTATTCTTTATGTTATTTATTAATATAATAAAATAATGGAGGCAGGAGACACGTGACAATAAAAACAGTCAGCTAAAAAGAAAGGACAGTGAAGGAAGAAGGAGCTAAGGTCTAAAACCAAAACTGGAAAAAACAAAATTCTAGCTCAACTTTCGTTTCGTAATATCTCTAAAATTGCAAAAATCTTCAATTAAAGGTTTCTAGATACCAAATGTTAAAGAAACGAAATAGCAACACAGACATAAACACACATATAGAATGAGAGACTTGAGACCTGTGGAGCATGTAATACAGAAAAGTGACAGAGAAAAAGCAGAGCAGAGATGTAGACAGGAAATAAAACAAGAATCCATGCCCTGTTTCCAACAGGCAGGACTTCCCAGCCCGCCAGGTCTCCCACCTCCCACCTCCTTCCTTCCAACTCCAAGTAACTCACATTGAAGGATGCCAGGGCCTCAGAGACACTCTTCTCAATGAACTCATCCGTGATTCTTCGGGAAGGATGTTCGTTAAACACAGAGTTCATTAGTGCAATCTTCGCAGCGCTCCGCCGGGCCTCAGCTTTCGTGGGGCAGAACTAGGCAGGGAGAGAGAGCACATGTGTATGTGTGCGTCTGAGAGAGAGAAGGCTCGATGGGAGGGAAACACTTTGGATAGAAGACACTTGGACACTCTGGATAAATTGCTGGTTCAACACGCACTCCCAACGTTTTTATTGTACATGGTGGGGGCATTGGGAAACGTAATTTTGATTCGACATCCTGAAGTTATTATTAAAGAACTGGAGATGGCTACAGCTCATACCAAATTGAAAGCAGAATGAGGAAGGCTGCTGAAGTCAGCATATAATCACTGGGTAGGAAAAATAGCCCTGTTTAAACTGTCAACAGAATTAATTACTCAAAAGCCAGAGTCTGGCCAGCCGGTTAGAAGTCTGTGTCTTTACTCTTGTTCTGTGTATAGGCGAGACTTTTCCTCCCTCTGGATAACCCAAGGTGAGAACAGACTGTGTCTAGGCTGCTTCTGCAGTGGGGACTCTCGGCTTGAGCAGTTCCCCCAGTAATGTAATGAACCCAGGAGTTATCCCTGGCAGAGCCCAGGGTCTGAAGAAGGAATCTGTAGGCTTTATCCCCCGGGGACACAGGAGAAGAGGGGTGTCTAGGGAAAGGAAGGCTGACCTAATGAAAGCAAGAAGAATTAAAAATTCATATTTTCACATTGTATCCAACAATGGTGTCTTGGGACAGTCTGATTTCATCATTTAACCTCAGTCCCTTAGGCACCAGAGTAATCCTTTTTTTTTTTTTTTAAATATTTATTGATTTTTTACAGATAGGAAGAGAGAGGGATAGAGAATCATTGATCAGCTGCCTCTTACACACCCCCTACTGGGGATGTGCCCGCAACCAAGGTACATGCCCTTGACCAGAATCGAACCCGGGACCTTTCAGTCACCAGGCCGACACTGAGCCAAACCAGTTTCGGCCATAGTAGTCCTTTATAATTCATCTTCACTGGCTGCTTCAGAGGCCTCCGTACCCTTAATCATTTAAAAATCTATATACATTTTCATGGATTTGAGAGAGGAAGGGAGAGGGAGATAGAAATATCAATGATGAATGAGAACCATTGATCAGGCATGTGGCTCAGCAGACACTCAACTGCTGAGCCACACCCAGCTGGGCCCCTTTGTCACTTAAGACTAGGATTAGAGAAAAGGAGGTAAGTGATATTACAATTTTTAAAAGTAGCCCAGGATATGTTTGCTACTTAACCATCCTTCATTATCAATAATTCCCAATTTCCTTTAGCTGACAGGTCTCTCTGAGACAGCATACGGAGCTTGCTACATTAACCCTAAATCTTGCTTTCTCAATTTCTCTATTTCTACTTTTCTATTTATTAGCCTGCTGTCCACTGTACTGCCTAATGCTGTTTCTGAGAGGTCATCGATGAAAAAAACCAATGGAAGAAATTTCAGCTGCCAAAGTGAATATAAAACAGACGATCCAAAGGAGCCACAATAGATAATCCTACTCTTTCAGGAAATAAGAGAAATCAAATTACTACAATGGTTCAGCTTTGGGCATCACCATAAAATAATCAAGTCCTTATTCAGCAATATGATGACGTACGAGAAGGAAAGGAAAGAAGAGAAAGCATAAACATTAGTCATTCTGGGCACATACTTATTTCTCTGAAATGGCTTGAGGCTGTAAGGGGAAATGTAGCTATCTGATTTTAAATGAAGCTTCCTGAGGGCCGTTTCTATTTGGGGCAGGAACTGAGTTGCAATGGCACTCATTCATGCGGCAGATTTATTAAGTGCCTAGTTAAGTGCTGAGTTTCATGGTAGGGATTCAAACTGAACAAGGGCCCTGGCCAGGATGGCTCAGTTGGTTGGAACACCATCCCATACACCAAAAGGTGACAGGTTGGCCCTAGCTGGTTTGGCTCAGTGGATAGAACATCAGCCCACAGACAGAAGGTCCTGGGTTTTATTCCGGTCAAGAGCACATACCTCAGTTGCAGACTTGATCTGGCCTGTGCAGGGGGTAACCAATCCATGTCTCTCTCTCACATCCATGTTTCTCTCTGTCTCTTCCCCTCCCTTCCACTCTCTCTAAAAATCAGTGGGAAAATATTCTGTCTTTGTGTCTTTTTCTCCTTCCCTCTTTCCATTCCTCTCTCTCTTAAAAAAAATCAATAAAATTCAATAAATAAATTAATTTTTTAAACTGAACAAGGAAGAAAACAGATGCTATCTCTGCCTCCATGGTGTGATAAACAATTACGGTATGTTAGGAGAAGTTCAAGGTGTATGGAAGCACACAGCAGGGCGTATAACTTTGTCTAAGGGCTACACAAACCATATGGAAAACAGAACAAAAGTGTCTATTCTCTTTTCCAAATTCCTCTTCAGACTCTAAGTTAACATTGCAGAGGGTTTCCTTCCTATCTGTAATGTAAAGAATCCATCTTTCTGGGGGAGCAGGCGGGTCGGGTGCGGCCAGGCCTGGAGCAGCGGCTGCCAGGCTGGGAGCGGCCAGGCCCGGGGGAGCAGGCGGGTCGGGTGCGGCCAGGCCCGGAGCAGCGGCTGCCAGGCTGGGAGCGGCCAGGCCCGGGGGAGCAGGCGGGTCGGGTGCGGCCGGGCCCGGAGCAGCGGCTGCCAGGCTGGGAGCGGCCAGGCCCGGAGCAGCAGCAGCCAAGTCCAGAGCAACTAGGTTGGGAGTGGCAGTGACCAGACCCGGAGCAGCTGGTTGTGGAATGAACCAGAGCAACAGAGCCCAGGCCCTGAGCAGCCAGGCCCAGAACAGCTCGCTCCTTGCCTGCCCCTGCCCCACGGCTGCTTCTCAGACATGGCTGGAAACTTTCGTGGGAACTTGAGGGTCTGCTGAATCAAGTGATGAAGGCTTAGATCTGGATGTGTTGAGTTAGTTTAGGACTGGGGTGTTGATCTGTGAGTGCCTTGGGTGGGGTCTGGATGAGGCTAGTGGACCTATTAGGAAATGTCTTTTGTGTAAAGTGTATCATTGGGCATGTGGAGGTATTATTGATATGAGAAAATGCTAAGTAACTGATTTACTATCTGAAAAGGGATTTACTATTGGGGAAATTGAGGGAAGAAGAGACTGAACATAAACTGCACCTATGGATGAGGACAATGGGGGATGGGGAGGAGGCAGAGGGTGGGGTGGGAACCTGGTGGAGGGGGGAAGAAATGAGGAACCTTTGTAATAATATGAACAATAAAGATTGATTTAAAAAAAAAAAGCAGGTCTAATTAAGCAAGTGTATATAAAAGGCTAAGTTGACTCATACATGCTCAATACATATAAAGCTCTAGCTGGTGCCAATTGCAAAAAAAAAAAAAAAAAAAAAAAAAAGAATCCATCTTTGATGATAATATTTATGCTACTCAAATTTCTCACTACCCTGTGATAGCAACCACTCTTCACCAACATATATTACAGGTCTTTCATATAATTGTAGAATGCTAATACCAGAAAGACTTTAGAACATTGAACCTCCCTCTTTCATATGACAGATGGAAAAACTGAGGCCCAGAGAAGTTACCTGACTCGCCTGCTGGCAGTCAAGGGAATGAGAATGTGAATCTCCTCACTCAGCTGCGTAATGTTTCCACCATTTATAGTCCCTCCCTTTTGATCTCTTAGAGAACCCAAACATTGCTTTCCTTAGTAAATGCCTATTGAAACATACTTGGGGCAAGGAGTATTAGTCTACATTCTCAAAAAGAGATGGCAGGTTGTTGAAAAGCCAGATCAGAACATGGGTTTGGTGCTGCTAGTCTGATATACTAAATAAGGGCATTATTAATCACTGTTCAAATTCAAACTGGGTTTGCCTCTTTGCAGGCTAAAAAGAAAAGCATGTGATTGAGGCTCTTTTGTGGTCAAATGAGCCTGAGATGCTGACCAGAATGATTTGCCCAGAACTGGTTCAGGTCTTCAAATATGTGATTTCTTTTTTATTTTTTTTTATTTTTTATTTTATTTCAAATAGTGATTTAATGGCCAAAGTAATAGAGAAAGCCATTGCTAGCACCTAAGCAATTATCTTTTTTCTTTTATTAAATTTATTAGGGTTAATAAATGTTTAAATGCTTTTAAATGGTGATAGGTAGGGAGCTAAGGAGGGTAGACTAACACACTGATTAGGGTAAACAGGGTCATATAGATTTCAAGTGCACATTTCCATGACACCTGATCTGTATGTTTCATTGTATGCCCACCACCCAAAGTCAAAGCAGTTACCTTTGCTACTGCAGCTTTACAATTCTTACCTGGAAACTCCCAAAGCAACTCCCCCCAGGCAGGGTGACGTAGCAGACGTAGGGAGGGGTGTTGGAGGGAACCATCTCATAAACCACAAGAGCCCCGTTCTTCAAGTCAGCCCCCCGGGACTGCTTCATCTGCCAGAACTCCTGAAGCGCCTCCACCACGTTCACTGCAAAAGAGGAGTAGTTAGTGCAGCAACGAGAACAATTCCACATGGTGCTCTGCTTGAATAGAGGATCTGCAACCTGTGCCTGTGTTAAAGAGTTTACCCTCCTAAGTCTCTTTAAAAGCATTTAAAATTTGCCGGGATCGGTTTGGCTCAATGGATAGAGCGTCGGCTTGGGGACTGAAAGGTCCCGGGTTCGATTCCGGTCAAGGGCATGTACCCTGGTTGCGGGCATATCCCCAGTAGGGGGTGTGCAAGAGGCAGCTGATCGATGACTCTCTCTCATCGATGTTTCTGACTCTCTATCTCTCTCCCTTCCTCTCTGTATAAAATCAATAAAATATATTTTAAAAAAATAAATAAATAAATAAAAGCATTTAAAATTTAATAAATTTAGACTGATTAAGTCTATTTGCATGTCTGCCCTCCTCCCCACCTTTCTAGTGTACATTTTCATTCATTCAAAGGAAGGAAACTTAAACATTAAAGGTAGTATTTCCAAGGTCAGCAGACCATTATCGCTGCCTGATGAAGTGCAAGTAGATTATTCACAATTAGCCAGCTGCCCTAGAACAGTAATAGTCATCACAATAATAAGTGTTAACAGGTACTGAACACTTCCTGTATGTCACCCATTTTACCACCTTGTGAAGCAGATACTTTAAAAAATATATTTTTAAAATTGAGACAGAGAGGAAGGGAGGGAGAGACAGGAACACCAATGATGAGAGAGAATCATTGATCTGTTGCTTCCTGTACACTGCTCACTGGAGATCAAGCCTGAAACCTGAGCATGTGCCCTGACCGGGATTGAACTGTGACCTTCTGGTTAATAGGCTAATGCTCAACCTGGAGGATTTCACAGATGAGGGAAATGAGGCATAGAGAAGTTAAATAACTTGCCCAAGGATGTAATAGCTAGAAAGCAGCAGAGCAAGAATTCAAACCCAGGAAGTCTTGGTTGCAGTCAGTGTTGTTAACCATTATATAATATTGCCATTCAAGGAAATATGGTCATATTAGCCATTTTCAAGTGTATGCTTCTGGCAAGCAAACTCATGGTCAGATTTCTTTTACCTCCTGGAATACTATGTGTATATTATTTATATACTAGCAAAATTTGTGCACGGGGGGGGGGGGAGGGGGGTTCCCTCCTGCACCCTCTGCACCCTCTCCAATTGGGGGCCCTTTGGGGGATGTTTGACTGTGAGATTGGGCCTAAACTGGCAGTCAAGATATCCCTCTCACAATCTGGGACTGCTCACTCCTAACCGCTCACCTGCCTGCCTGCCTGATTGCCCCTAACTGCTCTCCTCTGCAGCCTGATCTTGCCTACAACAGCCATCCCCTGCTGGCCTGTTTTTGCCTCCAATGGCCTTCCCCTGCTGGTCTTATCTGCCCCCAACTTCCCTCCCTTGCTGGCCTGATCTCATCCCTAATTGCTTTTCCCTGCCAGCCTGATCACCTCTAACTGCCTCTGCCTGCCTGATTGCCCCTAACTGCCTCTGCCTTCCTGATTGCTCCCAACTGATGAGCTGGCGGACAAGGCCGGGCTGCAGTGGCACAGAGGTCCACTGATCCCCGCAGGCCAGGCTGAGGGACCCCACTGGTGCACGAATCAGTGCACTGGGCCTCTGGTATATTATCTATGTATATATATGAGAGAGGAAGAAAGAGAGAAATGAATTTCTCTTCTGAGGCTTTCTTTAGACATAGATACTTTTTGGAGAAACTGTATATCGGGAGATATTCCTCCTCAGGTCTGCTGCAATCTCCTCTCAATCTTGCTGGGTATGGCAAGATTTCAAGGCTGTGTCTGCTCTGTACTTAGGCCATTTCTCAGGATTGTGTTTGCAGCAAGAAACCTTGACAGATGAGATAATATCTTTCTATGGGACAAAGAACAAACCTTCAACCTTGGACTTGGGAGGCAAAGGAAATTGCTGCAAACAAACATGATGCTCATGCTACTTGCTGTGCTAGGAGTAATAAAGCCCTTTGTTTTTGAACCAGAATTTCTTGACTTCTACCAGCATCTTTGAAACAGTAACCAGCTAACTATTAGCTATAAATAGGGTAAAATCAAACTCCAGACCCAACACTGTATTCCAGAACAGTGGCCCTCAGCCCCCTAGTACTTGGGCCCAATTATTTCACAAATATATATTGAGTACCTACTCTGTGCTAGACTCTGTGCTGGATGCTAGGCTATAAGAGTCAGCAAACCCATAGACTGCTCCTTTTCCTTATGGAGCTTATAGTCTAAAGATGGAGAGAGATATTAAAATAGCCAGTGTGAGATGTGCTATAAAGAGGGGGTAGATGGTGAGAAATGTTACAGCAACATCTGACCTACTTAAGAAGTCACCCTGAGGAGGAGATATTTAAGCTTACATGTGCATATGAATCCACTAGGCAAAAAGGTGAGAGACTAGTGCTCTGAACAGAAGGCATGGCATGTACAAAGGGTCTGTAGCAGCCCGGAATATGGTGAATAAAGGGACTAGCGTGTCTAGAAGAGCGAGAGTGAGGGGAAGCAGAATACAAGATGAGGTTGCAAAAGGATGCAGGGACCAGACCAGGTTGTGTCTTCAGGCTGTGATGGAGTGCTGGCTCTATCCTGAGAGCAGTGGGAAGCCACGGAGGGTTTTATGTGGAAGGAGGGATGGGATCAGTTTGCCTTTGGAAAGGATCACTTTGACTCTAGGGTTCAAACATTTTAAATGGCTTTAACTAAAGCCTCATAATAATAAACCATCATAAATATCCTCCAGTATCATGCAACATGACCACTTTCTACTCCCAGTTACAAGGACTCGTTCATCCTTTTTTTAAAAATTGAACTTATTGCGGTAACATTGTTGAATAAAATTATATAAGTTTCAGGGGTAAAATTCTATGGTACCTCATCTGTCATTCATCCTATAAAATAAAAGCATAATATGCTAATTAGATTGGACATCCTCCCGGATGACATTCCCAATGAAGCCGGGACTGCGAGGGAAGCCTGGGTCCTGGGTGCCAGAGGGAAGCTGGTGCCAGCAGCAGGGGGAAGGAAGGCCTGCTCTTGCACAATTTTTGTGCATCAGGCCTCTAGTTCTTTTATACTAGAGACCTGGTGTACGAATGCATGCACCAGTGGGGTCCCTCAGCCTGGCCTGCAAGAATCAGGCTGAAGCTGTCTCTCCAACATTCCCTAACGGGTCCTGGATAGTGAGAGGGCACAGGGCAGGCCAAGGGACCCCACTGGTGCAAGATAGAGGGCTCCAGGGCATGTCCAGCCTGTCTCACCCAGTCCCGATAGGCTGGACCCCAGTAGCAAGCTAACCTACTGATTGGTTGAAGTGTCTGCCCCCTGGTGGTCAATGCACATCCTAGCAACTGGTCAAAGGGTCAGACACCTGCATATTAGGCTTTTGTTAGGACTGTGTTAGTTTAGGTCTGTCTTTTAGAAGACAGCAAGATGGGTAGATATGCAGGACATTTATTGGGGAGGAAGTGAGAGAAGGGAGAGCATTTAGACCTTGCTGAAGGTGTGACATCTGTGGAAGGAGAGAGGGAAGGAAGGAGGTTTGGAGGCGAGAGACTGCGGCACAGTTCTCAGAAAGGTTTGGCCAGGCCAGTGGGAAGTCTTCCTGCCAAAGGAGTCCCACGTCTCACCAGGCACCACCTGAGTTAGTACCCCTGCTGCTCAGTCCCTGGCTGGGAATCGCCTACAAGATATGTAGGCTCAGTGCAAATATGGTGATGGACCTGGAGGGGACACAAGGTAAGGCTGTCAGTCAATTATGCTCCCTGCAGCAGGCGACATGGACAGCACATTTTCTTCCTTTTAAAATTCTTATTGGTGAGAGGGGTCAGGAGAGGAGAAGAAAGAGAGAGAGGAGAGAGAGAGAGAGAGAGAGAGAGAGAGAGAGAGAGAGAGAGAGAGAGAGAGAGAGAGAGAGAGAAAGGAGAGAGATTGATTTGTTCATGCATTCATTGGTTGATTCTTATATGTGCCCTGACCGGGGATTGAACTCACAACCTTGGCGTAGCAGGATGATGCTATAACCAACTGAGCTACCGGCCAGGGTGTGAAGGGCACATTTTCATGGCTGCCACACACACGTTAAGCAAACTTGTGAGCATGTGATAGGCGCATCGCTCTATTCTAGGCGTTAGGGAATCAAATATAAACAACATACATTCCCTGCCAGCAAGGCGTTAAAAAGCTGGCGGCCAATGACAACTGTTATCTCCCCTGCTCCACAGCCGAAGCCTGCACTCCACGCACCAGCCAGAGTCCGAAAGGCAGCATAAGCTCTTTTCTAATTCCCTGCATTTACCCGACTTTTTAGAATGCGCACTCTTTCATGAAAAGACGGCATGAAAAGGAAACTCTTTCCCACCCTCCGTTTTGGCAGGGCCTCTTCAAAGGTCACTGCCGCCCAGAAAGCTCAGCCATCTTTGTTCTTTCCTTTGAGATCCTGTCAGGCCCGGTTCCTGCTCTGAGACGATTTAACACAATGCGCTGGGTGACAGCTCTGCTTCCATGCAAACCGCAGGGCGGGTGAGGAGATAAAGGAAGGAGAAGAGAGCACAGAACGGGGAAGGTCTGTCAGAAAGCCTGTGGCCATGTGACATCCAGTTAAGCCCCTCTTGGGACAGAGCACAGGACTATTTTTTAAGTTTTGGAAATGGGAATATGAAATGGGAAATTGGGCAAGTGCTCAGGAAAAAAAAAAAAAAAGCAATCAACTGTGATCTGCATTTGAAAATGCTCGTAGACTCGCTTATTTTTAGAGCTGAGAGGGACTGCAGGGATGATCCAGTCCAGCGCAGGCTAAGGCCGGGGAAGGACTGGCTCCGCCTCTCCCAGCTGTGGCAGGGCTGGGGGTGTGAGTGTAGATATCCCGACGCCATTGCTTTTCAATCGGGGAATCTTAACCCAGTGGCGAAGGCCCAGTCCATGGTTAAGCTCTATGGGGGTTCAAAATCCTCCTAAAACTATAGGAGAATTC